AAACTTTCTACAAATAGCTCACTTGTGACACAGCTGAATGTTTCCATAATATTTTCAATTCCATGAAACCGATCGAAGACACTTATGAAAATGCTCTGTGTTCCTTGATTTATTGTGAAATGTTGTTTATTCGGGGGAAGAACCGATCCTTCACAAACTATAGAGACTCTTCTTAAATAAGTAGTAAAATCTACAGTTAAATTAGAGGTTCAAAGAACAGGTTTATGGAACACCTGACGAGCTGGACCATTTATATTTGCATAGAAACGCGTCATAAAGAAGTCATTAAGTGCATGTTATCAATAAAATAACAATATCACTTATAACGACAGAAAATATGAGATGTGCGTAATTCAGTTTTGGAAACTGAACGTCACTTGATTAACTCCTTCCCGTCCGACTATGCAATGTTCGACACTGAAAATGAAAAGTTTGCTTTTTAAACTTTACTAGTAATATAGGAACTATATCTCGATTTCTTCAATATAATACAACTTTGAAGTAAACGATTTGTCTCCGAACAGAGTTTGACAAGAAAAGAAAACTTGCTATACAATCGTGGAAAACGCCTGAAAAGCCAGCTAATGCAAAATACTGCACAACGAGCAAACTGGTAACTCTCTATTTGAGAAAACTGTCTCTATAACACAAAAACAGAAAAATGAACAACTCCACATTTGAACAGAAATCAGAAATGGTCGACAAACGCGTCTTCTATAGTTCGATAATTGTTATCAATGCTTTTACCGGTGTCTTGGCGACTGTTCTGAACCTCTTGATCATCGTTACTTTTGTCAAGACGCCATCTTTACGAACACCTTCGAACATTCTTATTCTTAGTCTTGCCATCCCTGACTTTGTTGTCGGTGCTTTGGTGCAGCCTGCTTGCTGTACAATGATTTTTGTACGAATTGGCGAAGAAATAGATTTACATGTATTTTACCTTATTCGTAAAGTGCTAGTTTTAATATCATTTATACTAGTTTATGTATCACTTTTCACGATAACTGCCATTACTGTCGAACGATTTGTTGCTCTTCACTTACATTTAAGATACCAAGAACTCGTTACAACAAAGCGCATCTCAATGGTGGCAATAATGATTTGGACATCTAGTGTGCTGTGGGTATGTTTATTTCTTCTCTTCTTTAAAAGTATCACTCTTAAAGTGCTAATTGTCTATATAATTGTATTCTTATGTCTTTCACTTTATTTAATAAACATTGTTCTGATGCTGAAAATATCTTGCGTTATCCGTCAACATGCAGCGCAGATTCAAGTTCAACAGCAGGCAATGAACGCACAGCCTGGTGCAGCAAGGAACATTAAGAGATCTGTGAATATGATGTATTACATACTTGGAGCATTTTTCCTGTGTTATTTACCATGGATTTGTTTCAACATCAAAATTGCCAGAAATGTTTCGCTGCCGAAACTCGCTCCGAAGCAGAAAATTGACTCGGTGTTGCCAGTAGTGTTATTGGGTTATACCATCGTCTTTATGAACAGCAGTATAAATCCTATCATATATTTCTGGAGAATACAAGACATGCGAAATGCTGCTCTTCAAATGATGCGATCTATTCGAAGAAACAACAATAACATTAACGTTGACAATAATAATGGAAATGCTGGGAACGACTACGCATTATAATGGAAAAACACTGTAACATTCACGTAGCAATTTGAGCAATTTGACGCTACGCGCCTGACTTACATTAATTAAACCTTGTTTTATAACTTTTTTGATTTGTTTTTGTTTATATTACATTTTTCCAGTGTGTTTTCTCTTCCTTTTTTTTTTTTGAGGAAGTTCAGTTATCTTTGACTTATGTTTTCACCTCGAGGAACTCACGACTGTTTTCCGAAAGGGTCTCGAAGTCTATACGAAAAAAACGATAGGGAGGGATAGACACTGTACAATGCTTAACGTTTATTTTCTCGACATGTAATGAACATTTCGCACTGAATATCATGAGGTAGTTAGGATATCTGGCGCTGTATTGTGATATAAAAGAAAATTGTCGTTTTCTGCTGTTTTTCGGTGAAAAACGAGCAAAATTATAATTGTTACGTGACTAGTGTTTCATACCTTACGCGATTTTCGATTACGATGAAATCAGAACATCGAATTTGAGCTGTTTTTGTGCACATGGAGATTCAAATAAGGATTTGTGAGGAYTTTTTTTTATCTATACAGCATTTGTCGCTCGTGTACGCTGGTGATTTTGAGAAAATCGCGTCAACTGCACAAGCGAAAAATCGCTCGTGTAGCCTCAGCTTTAGATTACACTTCACACCAATAGAAGAACTTAAAAGTATTTTTTCCGATGCATTAATGGAAGTTTTGTTCACTTGCATGAGCAATATTTGTGCTGAATACACCTTTTCAGTTGCACTTAAGCCTCGATAGCAAGTTCATTATTCTTTTGAATTTGACAAATGAGACTATTCATATCAATGTTTGCATTGCTCACATTCCTACAAATTTAAAAGATTATTAAACACGCTGTCGAGGCCTAAGAGCAACTGAAAAGGTGTATTGGTCAAAATTCAAAGCGTACTTCGAGCCATTTTGTATAAACAACAAACCTCAAGGGACTTGAAGTTTAACAATGGTAGGCGCTGTTAGTATGCTTTCGTCAGTCCACTTATTTCATAGCATCAAAATTTTAAAAATCTAAACTTTGCCGGTCCATATGACGTTCAATTGAATATAGTTTGTATTTTATTATCAATGTTTAGTTATAAAAGAATGCTAATTTTTCACTGCAATTTTATGACGGATAATCAAAAACAGGGCTTAGTTTCACCCTACCCGGGTAGGTCTTGTTTTTGCTGACATATATTTACCGTTCGGCACTATGTTGACAAGTTGTTTGAGCATGCATGTGCTTCGCTTCAGCTACACAAGACCGTCAAAAAGAAATATAGCACAACGATGTCATTCTCCCGCCCTTTTATTTTTAATACTGTTATCCTTTTTAATTTCTCCTCCGTTTTAATTCCTCCTGTGTAAACTAGGCAAGGTCGTGGACATCGCTGATTACACAAAACAACGAGATTACCATTACCACAAGATTACGTCCCACGTCCCACATCCTACGATCGCGATATTGTTTCCCTTCACATTTTTCAATGTCGGCTTTCTATACTGTACTAAACTATACTCAGCTAAAGTAAAGCAAAAGAATCCAAATCACAATGATAAAAAAATGGCCTAAAAAGCATGTTATGAAGTCCATTTAATATCATAAACGTTATCCAAAAAACCCTGAAAATTTTGGCATGAAACCATATTCATAGTTGCTAATGACTAAGAACGGTACGATTATCTCAATCGCTCTTCTTCGAAAGATCTTTGTTTTTCGTTCTCTCTTAGATCTTCGGTAATTTTGATTTCCAAACGTGTTGGACGTTTTTATGGATTGTCTCTTGATTTGTTTCGTGATAATTTTGGTATAAACATTACAGCCAGAATGACGAATAATAAAAGGTACTCCTAACGAAAAATTGCTTTTAAGTTAATAGACAGCAATTTTTTGGGTAGAATTGGAAAGGATTTTATATGTATAAGGTTGATTAATGATTGAAGACGCGAGCTTTCCTGACAATTGTCTCCTTCACTGCCTTGAACTCTTCATGAAGACATCCATTTGACAGGACTCAACTCATCAGAAGATATTACAATTTTGATATAATTTAGAATCTGATACAGGTACGCATGTATACATGAAACCTTTTAATCTAATTATATTATGTACATTTTGATATGGCAAGCATACTTGAAAGCAAGCCACAGACATAAATCATGCAAAAACTAGTCTCTTAAAGTAAAGCGATTCCGAGTGTTGTTTGCTACCATTCATTTTCTTTCTTCAAGAGAATTTCAAAACTTTATCAATCAATTGAAAATTTAAAAAAAACAACTTTGACAGTGAAGTCGAGACCTGAGCTTCTAATTTACAGTCAATCGCAATATCTCTTATTTACATAAGAACAACATGACACCAAACATCGATAGGATATTCTAGCTAAAGCAATATTCCAACCGACTGTTTTGTAATATCAATCGTTGCCAATAATATTTGTTACATCATATATACAATATTGGTCATAATTTGAAAAAACAACAACAACAACAAGTAACAAGTTTAAATATATTGTTTTTTTGGCCCTAAAGGCCAAATAAACTGAGACGGCNACCATTCATTTTCTTTCTTCAAGAGAATTTCAAAACTTTATCAATCAATTGAAAATTTAAAAAAAACAACTTTGACAGTGAAGTCGAGACCTGAGCTTCTAATTTACAGTCAATCGCAATATCTCTTATTTACATAAGAACAACATGACACCAAACATCGATAGGATATTCTAGCTAAAGCAATATTCCAACCGACTGTTTTGTAATATCAATCGTTGCCAATAATATTTGTTACATCATATATACAATATTGGTCATAATTTGAAAAAACAACAACAACAACAACAAACAAAAACAAATGAACAAAAACGAAAAAAAAAAGATGTTGACGTAATCAAATGAAATATTCGTATGAAAATAAAACTGAAGAATGAGAAACGTCTGAATAAAATTAAAACTTAAAAGTGATGCAATATATATGCAAAAGGATGGACTGCTTCTGAATTCAAGTAAAAGGGGTCCATTTGAAATGTCGATTGCAGAATCTCTAGCTGTCATTTTCATAGGCCTTGTTTTGCATCGTCATGCTTATTTGAGTTGTTGTCTGCTGTCTGATACTACGATTCTTAATAATCCCTACATTTGCAAGCATTTGCATGAATCCATGGCGGAAATTCTGACTGAACATGAACACAATACAAGGATTAACGGCCGCGTTAGCATATGCACAGAAAAATGCAATGAAATGGAAAGTTATTAGAAAGCATGGTTTAGGCGCACCGTCATTATATACGAACAACTCCAAAAATATAAAAACATTGTATGGGATCCACAATATTACAAATGTTACGATAATCGCAATCGCCATTCGCAAGATCTTCTGCTCTCTATTAGCCCTTTGTCGCTTTTGTCGATCACTGAAAGAGTCACCCAACGGAATGGACTGTCTCTTGAGGCTCACGATGATAATGGTATATGCAACAGCCATCACAACAACAGGCATTACAGCCAAAAGAAAGAACAATATCAGATAGTAATTACGAACGAAAATTGCTCCAAGTTCCCTCCCAAATTTAGTGTACCATCCTGAGCTGCATAAATTCATCCCATGGATGACCAGGACTTCATATGTGTATAGATAGACCGCATGTATGCTCATTCCCACCAACCATGTAGCAAGGATCGAAACCTTGCATGTTTTACTTGACATAATGTAGTGTTTCATTGGATAAACAACTGCAATGAATCTATCGACAGTGATGAGAATCAAGCTGAATATCGAGACTGCAGTCGTGACATCTTGAAAAAAGTGCACCAATTTGCAAAGCAGGGTACCAATTGTTCCCTCGACAAGCCATTCGGATATATGTTTAGGTTGTGTGCACAACAACACCAATTGCCTACTCACAACCATGGTTGGGATAACGAGGTCAGATATGGCCATGTTGAGGATGAAGTAGTTTGTTGGCTTCTTCATTTTTTTGTTGCTAAGGATGACAGCAGCAATGAGAATATTTCCGATCAACGATACGACAAGAATAACCGAATACGCTGTGATCTTGATAATCCTTTCTTGTTGGTTGGTTTGTTGTTCAGGACAGTACCTTCCTCGTGGTGGGCTTGTACCATTCAACTGTGTGTAATTATCACTGTGGTTAAACATGGTCGTTGCAGCCGAGGTAATCATTGTCGTCATGAAAATCGTTGTGGGAGCTGGTGTTGTAGAATTAACAGCGGTAGAATTATTGAACATCTTTGAAGGAGAAATGCTCTTGTAGATTTGGAAAGAGTTTCTGAGAAGCTTTGTTGCTGAATTCTTCTTCAAACAATCCTCCCACACTGGCCTTCATTCGTCAAATGACGCTGTTGGCGCGACACAACTCATCTCATAAGAAATGCCCAAATTGGAAATTTCGAATTATTGGGAAACTAAGAACGCATGTACATGCCAAATATTTGCCGGCCCGTTCACATATTACTCTCGTTTGTTTGAGAAAGGAAATGACTTTGGCAGCTGAATTGATCTATACAAATAAACATCAACGTTTTCTCAATAAATGTTTTTTGTAGAAGGAATTAGAAATAGAAGGCGAGTATCAACGCAGGAAACGGATTTCATTTTGGAAATAAACTTACAACAATTTCTGTTCAAGGTTTTTAATTACAGCACGCAAATACTTTTGAGGTCTTTATCAAGAAATAGCTTAGTTAAAATTTGTAGCTTATTGCTTGCAAACAAAAAGATACATGTCGAATTGAAGTCTCAAACTTCTTTGGCTATATACTTTCAGCTGCACCAACTCAATTTGTGCTGCTTTGGGAAAATTTCACAAAAGAAATGCATAAAGTTGTCAAAAACGATTTATTTTCAGCAACATAAAAGTATATCTGTTTGTAAAATGTGTGATTTGGAGGTGGTTGGCTAATTAACAAAAGCTACTTCCGACTCAAGCTTCAATGTTGGTAACCAATAAAAAAAAACATTATAAGTGTCAAACGACAAGCTCAACACTTCGTTTGAACAATGAAAAAAACCGAATCTTCAAAAGTCCTTYGCTATTTAGACATATACTTCGTTTGATGAAAATTTGTTGACTAGTTTCAGCGTTTAAATACCTTAGCAACATAAATTATCGTTATTTCGCACATAAACAGCTTTATTCCTTATTCCGCACAAAGTTTGTACTGATTATTTAGGTTCCTAACTTTAAATAGCAAATATGCATTTGCACTTTTTCATATTGTTAACATTTTTYAGGTATGAAACTTTTCCAGTCAGCTTGAATTTAGTCAAGTATTAATGGACAAATCCAACCTCAAACCGACAAGTTTAATTTATATTTTTTGGTCCCAAGCATTGTGTTGTTTTTGGTTTAAGAGCCAAATGAAATCTCGCACWTTTTACTTCAATGACCCAATGAGATTTACAGACCGCCGAAGGGTTTTGAAATTTGTCCAAAGTAAAGACCCAAAATAAAAATAAGTGTTCATTTAACAATAAATTTACAGTGTCCTTTCGTTTGCATAGTTGTGTTTAGATATTCGCGGGCGTTATACTCTGCTTTGGTGTAAAYTCACGATCCTCAATCAGCAATGTGTATTTGCTCAGCCATCAGAATGATCTAGAATGTGTCCTACGCTTTTTGTCGATTTATGTTTATTYTTACAATGCCAAGAGGTTATAACGAGGATATTTTCCCCTCAACATGTACATATGTATGGACGTGTTTTTGTCTTTACGAGCTTACTTTTGTTAATTATATACAAACAAAACCAGATCGGATGAAAGTTTTCACTCACTAATTTATGTTTTTTCTTTCTTTCCTTAAAATGAATGTTATCTGACTAGAATAGTTTTTTGCATTTTCTAGATGACTATTTTCCATCTTCGCAAATTATCTTTTATGTTGTCGAAAGATAGGGATACAGAGGGACTGAGGGMGATAGAGAGAAAGAAAGAGGATAGAGAGGTGTCTTTAAGAGAAAAAAATATCAGGCTGTAAATGTAAAGCACTGTTTATTTAAACATTGATGGCATATATGWTATAAGTCAGACAAAATCTTTTCCAAAATCGATGACGCAAAGGCTCTTGAAAGTCATTGCTTTTGCGGATTTAGACATCACATCAAACGGTAAAACGTCGAAAGAAGTTAATATTTGACTATTTCTGTATAAATATTAAGACAGTACATGTCACTAAAATGATAATCTAGCAAAAATATTTTTTTATTTTCTTTTTGTAAGCAGTGTTTGTTGTTATATTCAGAATTTTGGCTTGTCCAACAGTTTAAATTTGATTTAATATTCTTCTGATAGCAAGATGAGCGCCTTTCTTATCAAGTAAAAGCGATAAATTTATGTGTGAAAAACTCTATTGCTTAGTGTTGACATCAGAGTAAACTTCAGGATGTTTATCCATAAATTSAAGAATTTGAGAAAACCCAGAAAGTCACTTTAATTCTTCTTCCTTCTCTTCTCATCTCTTTCTTCGTCGTTTTCTTCTTCAATATCCATGAATGAGACAAACTACACCATGACGAGGATCCAGAATCCGTTATTGCTTGAAGTGCACCCTACAAGCATTCGCGCGGTGAGAAAATCATTTCTATCCAAAAATAGTGCTGCTAGTCAATTCTGTGAAGAAAAAAACTGACTTGAATTTATATCTTCTAATGAAGGTTATTCCTTGTGTTGCACTTCTAAGAATAACCACAAAAACATAATGACATTGAAGAAAGCATTGCCCAATTCCTGGGTTATTGTCATCRCATTTGCATTTTATATTTTCAAATGCCTATAACTCAGGAAATACGATTCAAACTCAAATCGAAATTAAATCGAAATCAACATGTTAAACCTATTCCTATAGAAGGAAAGGTTGGCTTTGTACACATGATTTCCCCTAACAAACAAATCTCTTTTAACAGTGAAAACGTTTATAACTTAATAATGTAAACTAGAATCGGCAATATGAAAATAATAGGTGAATAACATGAGTGCAAAAAAACTGCATATGATACACAACGATACATTTGTAAAGATTATTTTCTGGTTTGTTTCATATACATTTTGTACCATAAAAAAGGCTTCCTCTCTTTGTTTTTTGCTGTTTTTCCCGTTGTTAATTACTGCTTTATGATTCTAATCCTCGGCATCATGTCTATTCATAAATTTTTTTAAGCACACCTTACAATCTCACCTGCAGCTTTTTAGTTCTTATGCAATACTTATACGGCCATTTTGCATTTTAGACATTTTACGTTTTTTTGAAATTATGATACGAACTACGATGAATGTATAAATGTGAAAATGAATTATGATCGTTACATTGAAAAATAATAGCAGTTTTTTTTTCACTGCGATCATCATACTTGACTTTTATACACATTTTACGGTTTATTAATTCTTTGAACAATATCGCCCCATAACACGAAATCTKGAGCGTACCCGGATTCTGGATTCCATGAGAAATTTAACGAGGATTCTTGATCCCACCAAATTAAATTCAGCTTGCAAAGCATCCTGGMCTTTTTTCCTATATAATGTGACTCTTTTCCAGTTAGGGGAGCTTTGAATTCACTATAATTTCTCTTAGATTATCTGATTTCCTTTCATTTCTTTTTCATTCCCACGGATTCCATATTTTGTGGATAACTGGGCGAATGATATAAACTGGTATAAAGCAAAGATCGATGAAGTATATTTATTCACACATATTGATTATTTTTGCTAGTAAATAAAGGCATTCCAAGCAAAAGTGGGCCCATTCGATGCATGCACCTAATACAAAATRCATCATTTGTAATTATAATGCATACAATGTATGTGGAAGGCAAAAAGGACTGAATTTTTATTAAAAGGAATAATAAACTGAAATGAGAGTCATCAACATGTGTGAATTAAACCACTCATTCCTTTTTAAAACATAATATTAGTTATTTTCAAACCGAACAGAAGCTCGAAGGATCACGATGGACATGCCTCTTCATTTTTTTTCTTTCTTTGCCCTTTTTTAACAAAGCAATATTCCCAGAGCTTGAAACAGTGACCAGGATTTCAATAACACGTGATATTTATCCTTCCATGTGGGATCAAATTGTATCAATTTTTGTATCAATTTGGCAATGAAATGCACATGCCTATCGCAATCTTTAATACTTACATTAGAATTCGATTTTTACATTATTCGTATAATCTATCTTTTTTTCTTTCTTTTTAACACTTTCTAAAATATTGAAATGTTGGACTTACTATCTGGAGTACTTTATAAAATAGTTATTAAATTAGAGCGGATTTCGTATGAGTGGGAAACGGACGGTACTGTACTGTGACCGTAATCGTACTGTAACCAAATTCTAGTGCCACATTGGTTCACCAAAATTGTGCAGGCCAGGTGCGGTAACTGTGCGGTAACCGTGCGGTAACGTTGTCCCACTCATACGAAATCCGCTCTAGATCTCGATGTCCTATCGGTTGTTCATGTAGCATTTTCGGTCCCAGGCCTCTCTTCACTATCATTCATTCAAGTATTTTCGTCAACAATCATCACACTAGATCTCTTCAGATCATGCTATATCTTAAACAAAAACAATGAGAGATTCAGTTCAATGAGGACATAGAGTGCCTCGCTTTTTTTCCAAACATTATAGCAGGTCGAAGAGATACCTTGTCGAATAATGAAGGCTTTTCTTTGTATACAATATCACAAATAAATATACAGCCTTTTGCAAAAATTATGAGAATTGTTGAAATATCTAAATATCATAATATCGAGTGCATGATGGGTAATCCCGCGTGATGCCCTTAGTCCCTTGTCTTTGTAGTTTAGTTTTTTTTTGGCGACAGACTTATCCGTAGTTCTGAACATTTTCTTGATGTCAACAATGAATTATTCTAGAAAACCCGCGTGCTCCGGACAATATATGGATATGGATATTATGATATTTAGATATTTAGACAATTCTCATAACTTTTGCAAAAGGCTGTATTAACCAACTATAGCTATATTAAAATAAAAGCAAAGTGGAGATATCAGCGAAGAAAGTGCTAGTGTTTTTCCATTAAAAACACTTGCCAGGATTCAATTGTTTTAATTGCACAAATAATTCGTAAAATGAGTATTGTAGAGGAGAATCATTATCGATCTACAGGAAAACTAAACAAAAAAAGAGAGTTTMGAACACTTTAGTAGTTGAAAATCAGAAGTAATCCATTAGTGAACCTGAAAAATTTGACTCCCGGAAAGGATATTTTAAGACTTAATTCCATTTCCTCAGTTTGAAGGTTTCATTTAAAACAAAAATTTCATCGCACAAACCAAGATGTCAGTCATCTTGTA